TTTCAGGAACGCTGTAACCAGACAGGAATTCTTGACCCAGAAAATCATAAAAGATTTTGCGAAATTGAACAGGACATACAAGAAAAACTGCTCACTGAAATCATTATTTGCACATAAAGGGATGGTGGTCACCTGTAAGATTAGGGCAGGTTGCCACACGGCATGTTTGCTTTCAACGCCATTCATCATGTAATAGTTTAGTCAGCCATAAAAAAACACACATCTGAGTTTATGGGCTGATGTTTGAACTGGCTTTAAAGATAATCAAAGCATAGCAACAATGACTAATCAATTCCCCACCCATTACTACACCTATATCCTAGTGCGACTTTGAGAATCAGGTTTCTCACAGTGCACATACAGATTATACCAGCAAGATCAGAATCTCTTACTGATTATTTATTATACATTTCTATAAAAATGATGAAAGTTACATTGTTTTTTATGTTCAAATCTGCTTGCTTTAAAGCAATCGACTGTATAACGTTTCATATAAATAAATATGACATGGGTGAGTCCTGAACTGCAGAACAATTATCAGATGCTCCCTATAACTAAACTTTTCCCACAGCTGCCATTTAAGTTGCATGACTTTTATTGTTTGTTAGGTTTTTTTGTTAGTCAACTGAAAATCTACAGTAGTAGATATCTATAGTTCCATATGTTAACTCAAAGTATGTATTTTGAAGTTATTTTTACCTCTAATTGAAGAATAAGAACTTCATTGCGAGTACATCTTGTCTTTTAGATGAGACTTTATTTAGCCTTTAACTTATCTATCATTTGGACACATACGCAAGTCCATTCAATGCTTTTGTTTTATAAACAAGTGGTATACAAACTGGGAACCACAGAACACTGAGGCCAGCCAGCAAACAGGGTGTGTGATTTTGTTATTTTTTAAAGAAGATGAATTAAAAGGGTTATTATGTACTAAGTTTTCATCTACTAAGTAAATATATTCCTCAAATAACAAATTAATTTATTTTGGTTTTAGCACAGTCGTAATAGAAACATTTGTTAAACACGTTTGCAAATAACATGTTCAGTTATAACGTTAAGTCACGAATTTTCACACCCACACATAAAGAATAAATAGATTTTTATGAAACATGCTATATAATTTAACTGCCCTTATATATATTTAGGCAACAGAACTTGAGAGAAATCGGAAAAGGTTTTCGACAGAACAGATCTATTTCCCTTAGTATTTACGAGCAACCAGAAAAATAAACAGTTTCCTGCTCATTCGTCATATATCCACAACGAGCCTTGCAATTAGAGGCTCAGACTAATAATATAAGCCTTTGGTTTGTAAACAATCCATATCCTTAAATGAAGGAGTTACAATAAGTGAGCAAGTTTGTGTTTTTCTGGGAGTGTATACCTCACTGTTTCCGCGTTGATCGTGCAGATCGGGCTAGCAAAGTTAGCATGAAGCTCATGAGGAAACAACATAAAATTTTACGAAATTAACAATTATACCCGAATAAAACGGTCTGTTTCGGGTGTCACTGGACCGGAGGCAGGGTCTGGTGTCGGTGTCAAATATTGAGGTCACTACAAATACCGGTTCTACTGGGCTGCGGTCATTAGCATTAGCCGTTCGCGCGGACCAACTGGAAAAATAAAGCATAAAAAATAACCCTGTCCCAAAATAAAACTCACCCCGATCACGACGCTATCCTGTCCCTGAAAGTTGGGGATGTATTTGTCTCCCCTTGTCACCTCCGAGCTGTTCAACGGCCTGAAACGGCACATGACTTTAATGGTGCACTCCGCCGGGTCCGCCATCTTCCCCCGGTTACCGAATCACGAGAGCACCGGCCAGAACACACGCACATAGACGGATACAGACACGGACGGAGGGGTGGGGACACCGCCTCACTCCAAAATCCCGGCCTGTGCTGTCGATTCCCGGCCCGTGTGACTGCACAGAAAGAGACGCGTTGGAGGATCACCCGGCCTCCGGTCCGGTGACGTCACATCACGCGCCGTCATCAAGAGCAAAAAAAAAAAAACAGTTCACAGCCGTTGATTTGAGTTATATAGCTTTCTTGTAATGCTCTTATTTATTTATTTATTTATTTTCATACACTTTTATACAATTCTAATTTATTTACCCCTTTCTTTGTTTTGTTAATTTTTTAAACTTTCTGTAGCTAATGTAGCTTGTTTTTCCCTTTTTTGTATCTATCTTATATTGATCTCCTGATTGTGGTTGTATAGTTTCAATTGTCATGTCAAAGCAGTTAGTAAATCAGCATACTATCATCTCAAAAACATTGCAAGAAGTAGATGCTTTGTTTCCAGTGAAGACTAAGAGAAACTTGTTCATGCTTTTATCAGCAGTAGGATGGATTACTGTAATAGCCTCCTCACCGACCTTCCCAAAAAGACAGTCAGACTGTTGCAGCTCATCCAGAATGCTAGCTGCGGGCTGCAGCCAAGATTCTGACCAGAAAGAGAAAATCAGAGCACATCACACCTGTCCTCAGGTCTTTAGCTACTACGCCCCTCGCTGCTGGAATCAGCTTCCAGAAATGATCAGATGTGCTCCAACATTAGACACGTTCAATTCAAGACTGAAAACACATTTGTTTAGCTGTGCCTTTACTGAATGAGCAATGTGCTACGTCCGACAGACCGCACTATTGTGTCTTTTGTTTTGTTTTTTCTTTTATGTATAACCTGTTTTAACACATCTTAATCTGTTTTAATCATTTTTATTATTTGTTTTTATTTTCTTATACTTCCATTTTTATATTCCTGATTATGTAAAGCACTGTGAATTGCCACTGTGTATGAAATATGCTATAAAATAAACATGCCTTGCCTTATATTTTTATTCTTGTATAAAAAAAAATAAAGAAAAAAAAGAGTTCACATGAAAAACAGTGCTTATATCTATGTATATTTTTCTTTGTAGTTTTTGTTTTCTTAAAATAAATCCAAGCATATAAGCATTGTTTTTCATTAAACATTTTTGGATGTTGAAAGTAAACTGTTTAAATATATACTAGTAAATTCTTTAGCAAATAGATAAAATGTATATCCTAATGTGCATGAGAAATATTACTCATTGCCAGTTGTGGTAATACATTATGATCTTTGAAAGCTAAACTTTCTGCTTTTACAAGTAAACGTTGTTTTACTGTGTATCACTGCATCTATTCACTAATTGTTCATTTGTAAACCAATTAAACAGCAATATCTTTAACTACAAAGTTGAGATTGACGTTGCTGTCTGACTAAATCACTATAGTTTATATTGAAAATAAATAAATGACATGATGGCCTTTGGTTTAATAATTTTTATTTACACCATTATCATTGACCTATTTGTGCATTATGAAATGTAATGTAAACATAAATACTCATTTTTTACAATTTGTGTATATATATATAGAGAGAGAGAGAGAGAGAGAGAGAGAGAGAGAGGGAGAGAGAGAGAGAGAGAGAGAAATCTCATCAAGACAATATAATGTAATATTGACCTTAAGAAAAGACAATCTCAACTAAAGTTCCTAATGTATAGTTTACAGAAACCAGTTTACAGCACTAGTTAACCGTGTTCTGATCATTTAAATTAACATTTAAGTATTTAACATAAAAGACGGCACAGATTCAACAAAAGAAGCTAAATAACCTATTCCTGGAAATCAATTCCAGAGGCAAAACATTGGCTATTCATGGAAAATAGATTTTCTGAGACTATACCAAGTTCACTGTGGTTTACTATTAAGAAAAACTCATCTGCTCACTAAAAACTGACTGTCCACCTTCAGTCATGACTGCTAGAATAATTTGACTTAATATAAAATAAATAAATGATGATACAATTAAATCTTGTACAACAATAAAACATGTTTTCCCAAAGGTGTTATATTTTCTAAAGGTTTAGCCTTAGGCATGTTCACAATGGCTATTATCTGCAATATTCTTATTTATATAGTAGTACACTTTATTTATTTGGTGATATATTTTATTGATCATATAACTCACTGTATATACACTCACCGGCCACTTTATTAGGTACGCCTTGCTAGTACCGAGTTGGACACCTTTTGCCTTTAGAACTGACTTAATCCTTTGTAGTATAGAATCAACAAGGTACTGTAAATATTTCTCAGAGATTCTGGTCTATATCGACATGATAGCATCATGGTTCATAAAGAGATGGACATGGTCAGCTACAATACTCAGGTAGGCTGTGGCAGTGACACGCTGCTCGATTGATGACAGGCCCAAAGTGTGTCAAGAAAATATCGCCCACACATTACATCACCACCACCAGCCTGAACCGTTGATACAAGGCAGGATGGGTTCATGCTTTCATGTTGTTGACGCCAAACAAATGCCAAACTGACCCTACCATCTGTATGTCGCAGCAGAAAGCAATACTCATCAGACCAGGCAACGTTTTTCCAATCTTCTATTGTCCAATCTTGGTGAGCCTGTGCAAACTGTAGCCTCAGTTTCCTTTTCTTAGCTGACAGGAGTGGCACCCAGTGTGGTCTTCTGCTGCTGTAGCCCATCTGTCTCAAGTTTGGATTTGTTGTGCGTTCAGAGATGCTCTTCTGCATACCTCGGTTGTAACGACTGGTTAGTTGAGTTATTGTTGCCTTTCTATCAGCTCAAACTAGTCTGGCTATTTTCCTCTGAAACAATTAACGATTCCTGAATAACTTCCTCATTAACAAGGCATTTGCATCCACAAAGTTGCACTCACTGGATATTTTCTTTTTTGCACCATTCTCTGTTCAGATCAGCAGTTTCTGAAATACTCAGACCAGCCTGTCTGCCAACAACAACCATAAGAAGTTCCCCATTCTGATGCTGGGTTTGAACAGATCGTCTTGACCATGTCTACATGCTTAAACACATTGAGTTGCTGCCATGTGATTGGCTGATTGGAAATTTGCGTTAACAAGCTGCTGGATAGGTGTACCTAATAAAGTGGCTGGTGAGTGTATTGTTTTATATATATATATATATATATATATATATATATAATTTATTTTCTAGTATCACATAATTCCACTGACCCATAAACTCTAAACCCAGGGTAGAGTGGCTGAGCGAATGTGGTTTGGACTCTGTGAATGAGGCTCATTGTGTCAGAGCCGCTGTAGAAGGACAGAGTTCCTGCACTGTGATCCACATACACTCCTATTCTAGACGAGGTGGAAACCACTGGCAGTTCAGTCTCGGTGTAATTGTGACAGAATGAATATTTGCAGTAACTAGAGGGAAAGCAATACAAACACCAAGACTGATCATTATATCCAAACGCACATTCATCACCCCGTCCCTTCCTGCTGATGCTCTTATATGAGACTGATATACCCACTCCTCTTCCGCTCCACTCAACCTCCCAGTAACAGCGTCCACTCACACTCTCTCTACACAACACCTGAAGCAAACTATCGAATCTGTCTGGATGATCAGGATACTGTTGATCTGAGTCAGTTTCAGTAATCATTCTGTTATCCTCAGACAAACTGAGGCATGTATGCATGGTATTTGCATCCAGAGTAAACCGACGGGAATCTGAAAAAGATAAAACACATAAACAGTTTCTGCTTCGACTTTTAAAAATGTAATTTTATTCTTCTCTTCTGTTCTGTTGTGTTTTTCTGTCCGTGTGTGTGTTGTTTTCTTAGTTACTTACATTGTAGAAGCTCCTTCCATGTCTTGGGTTCAGGAGTGAATACACATTCAGTGTATTTTACTATAACAAAAGAAACATTCAGTCACAATTGAAATAAATATTAAGAGAGCAAATACGGTTTGACATATCTAGAGAACAAGAATATATTCAATATTCAGTTTATATTTTATATGTTCTGTTATGAAGCTTGACTTTTGGTCTGAGAAAATTGACAATTCATTGTATTATTACCCTTTCCAGATATAATTTCTATCTCCTCTCTGCAGAAATGCTCTACTTTTTCTCTCAGACGAGACACAGATTTACTAACATCATCAAAAGAGAGGCGAGAGCTGACAGTGATGCTGGAAGAGTCTGTAGATCCAGTAGGAGCCGAGAGAGACTGGAAACTCTACACAGACACAACACAAACAGCAGATAAAGATACACACACACACAACACACACACATCCGACAGAAACAAAATCTTCGCTTTTCCACTGTGCTGTTTGTCAGATCTGTGTTACCTGGAGGAAATGGATGTGATGGTCTGTGTGTGAAAGCTGCTCCAGCTCAGCGTCTCTCCTTCTCAGATCATCAATCTCCTGCTTCAGTCGCTTCAGTCGTCCTTCAGCTCCACTCACTGCAGCCTTTTCCTGATCTCTGATCAGCTGATTCACCACAGAGTGGCTTTTCTCAATGGAACGGATGAGCTCAGTAAAGATCCTCTCAGTGTCCTCCACTGCTGCCTGTGCAGAGCGCTGTTAGGACACACCGAGAGAGAAGCAGCAGAATCAGTCATTCACTCAGCTCTTACTGCTGCCTCACACAGCCTGTTCCCCACAGGGGCTTCAGTGGGAATCAAAGTGCTCCAGCACTGGGCTCCTCACTGACTGACAACAGGACAGTCCTAACTGAGTCTCAAAGAGCTCTTCCAGCAGCCAGCAGTTGATCTTCTGCTCAAAACTCACCTTGTGAGACTCAACAGCCTCTCTCAGCTCCTCACACTCCTTCTGATTCCTCTGGATTCTCTGCTGGTGTGTTCTTCGTGCCTGCTCCAATTGTCTCTGACAGGAAAGTTTACATTTATAGTTAAATGTATGTATTGTTTGTGGATCCAAAACCTTGATTTTTCAGCTCATCATCTATGTCTACAAATGTTTTTTAAGGTGGTTAAGAAATGACATTATTTACTATTTATCTAATCAGAACCTATTATTAAACTCCTTTCAAAATCCTAATACACAAAACAATTTAATAGCAAACCTATTACTTTTTTTTTAGCCTTTTTTGCAGTAAACAAACCTGTTTGTCAATCCTCTCTACTGCAACTGATACAGTCTCATGGTTTTTGTGTTCATCCACAACACACAGAAGACAAATACACTTCTGATCAGTACGACAGAAAACCTCCAGTAGTTTGTCATGTTGAGGGCAGATCATCTCCTGCAGTCGTCCAGTGGCGTCCATCAGATTGTGTTTTTTACCTCTGAAGAAACTCTCGTGTTGTTCAAGATGATTTTGGCAGTAAGAGTTCAGACACACCAGACAGGACTTGATGGCTTTGTTTTTGTCTCCAGTACAAACATCACACTCCACATCTGCAGATTCAGAGTAACACTGAGCAGGACGAGCAGCTTGTAGTTTTGTCTTCTTGAGTTTCTCCAGCACTTCAGCCAGTATAGTGTTTTTCCCTAAAGCAGGTCTTGGAGTGAAGGTCTGTCTGCACTGAGGGCAGCTGTAGACTCTCTTCTGCTCATCCTGATCCCAGCAGCCTGAAATACAGCTCATACAGTAACTGTGTCCACAGGGAATAGTAACTGGATCCTTCAGTAGATCTAGACACACTGAACAGCTGAACTCATCCTGAGCCACTGAAATGCTGGATTCTGCCATTTTGGTGCACACACGGACAGTCTAAAGCTCAAAACTGTTGAACCCCACACCCAGACTGAGCAGGAAGCAGTGATGATGAGTTTCACTTTCACTCATTGAGGGAGTCTCTAACAGAGGAAGAAATAGGAAAAATGCTGGAGAGAGGTGTCTGGAATGGCAAAGATTTAATTTTTCATCTTAATCTTAACTATGTTTTTAAGTGGTTTCTATTTTTTTCCTGAATTCTGTTAAAAATGTATTACTTTGGGTTGATCCATCTATGGGGCTGATCGGTTGTGTAAAGCTAAGCTAAGCTAAGCTGAAGTTAACATCTAACTCTCTGCTTCCCTCTATTGACCATACTGTTTAATAATCCATATATTCCAGCTTGCCAAACAGGTCTACACCATGAATACATAGCCTACTGTAAATAATTCCATAGCATTATTACGTAACATGACATATTTAGCAAATAAAAATAATTGTAGAATATGTATTTGCTTTTATAAGTGAGACGTTCTTAGACGATCGGTTTTTAGCAATCATGAAACTGCATGAGATTCATGAGACTTAATGCGTTTAAGGATCTTTGATGAATTCAACTGCTGAAAAATACTTTAATGCTGGCCATGACAAAAACTCTACAAACAAGTCTGTGCTGGTCTTTAATGGCCCCACTGAGGACTAGCATTAGGGACCACAGTTGGCTGCCAGTGAAGGGACATTGAGATTTGGCTCACTGGACAAACGTTGACCACTTAGTGCTGGCCCCATATGGACAGCCCTCACTTAGCCCTCAGGAGCCTTCATTAGACCCACACAATGATTCTGGTTGTCATTAATTATCAATAACACTTAATCACATAATTATCACATTAACTTCATCAATGCATCTGTGTTTCAATCTCTTTCGGTCATCGAAAATTATTATTTGAGGGTGCAACACTGATAAATTTAATGCTGACATTTCAATCTTTTGACTGTTGATTCAACGCTAATTCAACAAAGTTCTACTATCTGGGGTTTGACCTCAACAACAGTTAGCTATATTTCAAACAGGTCAGATTGTACCCCATAGCAAAATTTCGGCAATGAATTACGGTACATGACTGGACCAAGTCTGGCTTCCACACAAGGGCCGAACATGAACCATATCTGGGCCAAGTCTCAGCCAAGTTAATAACCCATAACTGGGCCTGAACTGGGCCAGATGTGTTGGTGTGTCATGACTGCACTGTTTTTTTATAAACCCATAAAGCATTTCGCTTTATGGCTGTGCTATTTCTTGAAGCGACCTGATTGATAGAATTTTTTATTTACTCAAAAATAATTTAAATGCATTTTAAATGTGGGTCAACATAGGCCAAACTTACGTGGCCCACATATACATTTTAACATCTGGGCCAAATACTACATTTGATATCCGGCCAAAGTCTTGAGTGCGGCCTGTAAGACTGTGCCACCTCAGCCAAACCTGGGCCATGTTTGGCCCACATGCTGCATGCCAGTGCCGGACAAATGCCTGCTGCAGCTTTATGCCAAATCTAGGCCAGAATTCTTTGCTACCTGGGTAGTTGTGTGTGAGGTTTGTAAGTGTTAAAAGAATGACACAAAAATAACTGGAGTAGGAAAAGTGTATTCAAAAACAACACAAAGAAAACAAGAAAATCAATCTGTTGAATGCAATTTGCCATATCAAAACAGTGCAAGAATCAAGGTCCTAAAGTGATAGTCCACTAGTTTATATACAATCCAAAACAGTGAAAATACAGACTTGCAAGAATTTTCTGGAAAAGGTAAGTCCAGAAAAAGAAACTTAACATTCCAGAAAAGTTTGGAAGCTAATATACAGTAGCTTCCAGATAGATTGCTGATCTTCCTTTATACTGTTCTTAAAGGCATACAGACCATACAAACACTAAAATGAGAGAAGAAATAAAATTCTCTGATAAAGTTAATTCATCCATTTAATCTTCTCGGCATAGTACTTTTTTAATCAGGGGTTGCCACAGCAGAATGAACCGCCAACTTATCTAGCATATGTTTTACAGATGCCCTTCCGGCTGCAACCCATCACTACCCAATTCCCAATTCACCTATAGCACATGTCTTTGGACTGTGGGGGAAACCGGAGCACCACACAGGTTCCACACAGAAAGCCAACTGACCCAGCCGAGGCTCGAACCAGTGACCTTCTTGCTGTGAGGCGACAGCGCTACCCACTGTGCCACCACACCACCATTGACTAATAAAGTATTAAAACGGTATTGAAATTAATATAAAAACTGAATAAATATATATATATAAACATATATACAGTAAATAAACCCACTCAATGGGCTAAAGATCTGTGGATTGCTGTGTGCGCAAATTCCGTGTGGGCGTACTGATGTTAAAACAGAAACTATATGACTGAGGAAAGCCACTTGAGAACTCAGGTTCATTCAATATCATTTTAGTAAGCGGTCTATGTGGTTCATATGACTTAGGAAAAGTATATATAAGCAAATATTCATGCATCATCACTTTTTTTCTGGAAAGTATGCACATTTATGATGTTTTCAGCAGATTGATATTTAGAATATCTGTTTATTATAAGTAATTCAAAAGTTTCAAAAAATCTTTCACAAGTTGCTTTTTTCTGCTATGTCTGCTAGAAAGTTTATAGATTAAAGAATAGTGCCTATTGTATCTTGAAGTCTTGGATTTCCCCTAGGTATAGGAAATGTTCTGAGGTGATAAGGGTGAAACAATGGATTGGTCTGGTTTTTAACTTACCAGACACAACATCTGTTGCAGACTCAAGAATGTGAGTGCTTTAGCCTAAATTAGTTATAGAAACGCGCTTCTTGTTCTTTGACTTCTGACTACAGTAGTCAAAATTTAAAGTGGATCAAAAAAGGTTTTCTAAATTGTCCTAAAACAAGAATTGATGTTGTTTAATAGTTTTAGGACAGCATTATGGAAAGTTTTGATCAATTATAAATGCTGATGACTGTTTACTGCAAGGGCCATTCTTCTCCATACGAGTTGATTACTCAGTCTCTGGCCTTAGATATTTTATTTTTTACTTAGTGAATTTGACTTTAGGCTATCTTAGTTTCGTTGGTTATTTTACTTAATATTTTAACACCACTGTATTGTTTGATTTACAAGTTATTGATTTTATCGTTCCCCAGTAATAGGTTGCAGCTAGAAGGATATCCGCTGCGTAAAACATATGCTGGATAAATGGGCGGTTCATTCCACTGTGGCTACCCCAGATTAATAAAGGGACTAAGCCGAAAAGAAAATGATGAATGAAAATTAATTTTAAAATAATGTCAAAACTCAAAGCCCCTTTACATCAGCTCATTTATTGTATCAAATTGTCTTTAAATATTGCAAGGGGACAGTAAATGTTGTAAAATGCATGCAGTAATTTGAAATGTGTGTAAACTTACACTGTAGAAACTCCTCTCTGATTTTGGGCTCAGAAGTGGAAAAGTTCTTAATGTATGACATTGTGGAACAAAGAACAGAATTTGTACAGAATTTACTAAAGCCGATGAAAAATGAAAAGTTGCAAATCAAAAATGTTTAGGTTGATGTAACTAGGAACTCTATTCTCATTTTAGTGTAATAATCAAGGATTTTTTTGGCGTATACCTTGCCTTGGCTACAAAAAGCCAGCTCATAAAAAAAGTCCCTATAGCTATAATTGTACTTACTCTTAACTCAGCCTCAAGTGATTTAAAAACTTTAAGATTATTATTTTTAATGCTGAACCTATAATAACACATTAAAACAAAGCTGGAAACCTGTAACAATTGACTTCCATTATACTATTAATATGGATCTCTTATACATCTTAATATGGTAATAATGGTTACCGGTTTCCAACATTCTTCAGAATATCTTCTTTTAGGTTTACCAGGAAAAAAAACAACTCAAACAGGTTAGTCAAGTGAAGGGTGAGTAAATTATGACAGAATGTTCAGTTTTGGATGAACTATCCCTTTAATGATGATAGTGTGATTTTTACGCCTCACGGTGGCGATAAAGTGCTGTCTTAAATCCCTCCAGAGTCCACCTGAAGTTGACACAGGCAGAGGCCCGTCGGGAGCGGCAGGAGTGCGCGTGCCGGAGAAGTTCGCTCGCGCCGCGGCTCAGGAACAAGGAACTTCGACGCTTAACTGCCCACCAAGACCGACGAGCCTTTAAATCAGCAAGTTTATGTCGCTGTAGCCTGCCACACACCCGGAAAAGCAGCTCAGGTACGTTCATCTGTCGGTAACCTGTTAAATAAGATCCAATTATAGGTGTTTCATCGGGTTTGACGGATTTTTGAACGCGTTAGCAGGTTAGCAGGTAGGAATGAGAGCGAACCTGTTTCCTCGGCTTTTTAATGTTAATGTTAACTGTTACATTTTATTAAACGAGTTTACATGTAGTCTTTAACTCTTTATTTCGTGAGTGAATTAAGATAGAGTTTAATATCAGTAGATTAGCGTGTTGCCCAGGTGAGTTTTATAGTGTAACACTTACCTGAGGGAAGGAATTTCACCTCAGATTAAAGATCTCCTCCTTAATGTTAGCGTCATTCTGTTTTTATTGTGTTGTTTTTTCCATTTATTTTTTATTTTGTATCCTCTGTTAGAATTGGTTGCCGTCGATATGTCGTTGTTAGTCGGGTTGTGTGTATGTTATGCTGTGTATTATAACATTATGCTATATATCGACATGTCGTTCACGTGAGAAAAGTACAAGGAAATGACTCGTTTCATGTCACGATTTGTGCGAAATATTAATTGCCAGTTGTAAACTCTTGCTTGGTTTAGCTTGTTTGGTTTCCCCCTTAAATCTCGGTTAAAATCAGTTTGACAGCACTTTAAATTGTGGTGATGTTGACAGTAGGACAGTATGTTTGTGACTGATTGTGTGAGAGATAGAAGTTTCACCCACACACAGAAACCTCATGTCACATGCTGTGCTCCTACATCGTCTTAATAAACTTATTGTAGGTTATTTATTTAGTCAACTTATTTGCTTTGTGTTGAAACACATTCATTCCTTTCTTTCACTCCTGTTCTCGCTTTCTCATGACAAATATATGCATGTTAAATGCTACAAAATGTCTTGTGAGTTAAACGTGGTTAATCTACATAAATGGCTCAAAGATGTAAATGAGCAATTCCAGCGTTATGGATGTGACATTTGCAGTAAAACTCAAAACATAATTTCATAGAGAAAGCATATGTTAACATTATATTGAAACAGCTGCTTATATTTTCCAGAACAACTGACCACAGAGTTAAGGGACCAGAAAAATATCAATCTATAAACAATCCCTAAATAAAATAAAACTATTTAAATGCACCAAATATTATTGCCTGTATTCACTCAGAAATTGATACTCTTTTATGCTGAGCACTGTATTTTTTTCTTTTACATTTCAGTTTTATAATACCAGGAGGACACTGAAT